CACGTGACAGCGCACATCATGTTAAGTCGGGCGTGTCCTTCGACAGTTATGATGTTCCAACCTACTTTAGCTTTGATCACCAGAAATAATTCGAGCACCCAAGAAGTACCGAAACTCTAGGGCTTTCACGTGTCGTGCCCTGGGAGACACTCGTCCTGTTTCGACACTGTTTCGACCCTTTTCCCGGGTGCTCGAAATTATTTCGGGGATGTGGTCCTTAAGTACGATGGGAACCACATAATTCTCTACAGGAGGAGTACGCCAAAATAGTCAAAAATAGTCTGGAGACGACCTTTTGACAATGTTTGAGTATTTTTGGCGTATGTTTTGGCTATTTTTGAATTCTCGCCCAAAATCCGCCTGTAGGGGGACGTGCCCGACCTAAGCATCATGAAACACGTCGACACCCCACCATCATCCCTGCCAAAAACCAAAGCAGCATGGCGGCGGGGCGGCCATCATGATGTATGAGATGTGCGCCCGTAATCCTTTCGCATGGTTTTTGGATGTTGATGATGGGCCTGCGCGTATCTGGCAATATACAAAGACCCCTGCAGCCCCTGTGCGAAAACAACGCAAAGTGATCGTGGGAAGCCCGCACATGGTCCAAGGTTTTGACGCACATGTATCGAAGACGTCTGCGACGAATCACCGCCGCCCCCTGCCTTTTGGAATCGCCCATGTGGCTGAGCGTTGTGGCCGGAGCTCTGCCAAGCTATCGGACCATGTGTTCCCCCAGCCGTTCTGGAAACCCTTCGGGGAACATGCGGGGGAGAGAAGAAGCGGAGGAGAGGGAGGAGGAGGAGGAGGAGAAGGAGGAGGAATATGTATAAGAAGAAGAAGAAGAAGAAGAAGAAGGATAATAATAAGAATAATAATAATAAGAAGAAGAAGAATAACAGGAGGAGGAGAAGGCTGAAGAGAAGGAGGGGGAGTAGACCTCTTGAGAGCCTCCTGGGGCACGCTTGGGATGCTCCCTGGGAGCCTCTCGGAGGCCTCCTGCGGGTCTCCTCTTCGGCCTTCGGGGGGGGGGCTTGTCCGTGGCCTCTCTGGCAGTCTTGGGGCGCTCCTGGCCCGTCGGACGCCGTCGGGAGCCGCCTTGGGGGCCTCTCTCCAGCGCACGCGCCGCAGGGACTCTGAAAGTGCCTTCGGGGCGGCTCAGGGGTGACCAAAAAATGAGAGAGTTTGCGTTCCAGCGCATTCTCGTTTGCGGCGTTGGGCGCCCTGGCGCGGACGGCCGAACGACCCCTGCAGCGGGACACCCTGCCCACACGGTCGGCGCCGTCAAAACCGCGCGTGGAGGCCCGCAAAGGACGCATCGAAAGGCGCCGCGCACGGTCGCGCGGGGCGCTTCGGGACCGTCTTGGAGGCCATTTTGGCCGTCAGGGCTCAGCCAAGGCGCCGGCAGGCAGTGCAAAAAACTGCCGCGGCGGCCTCTGAGCAGGCCGACCACGCATGCCCCGGCCACTGCGGCAAGGCCAGAGGACGCCTACCGCATTTTCACTTTTTCCCCTCCGTCATGGAGGCCTCTTGGTCTTGGGCCCCCTCTGGGCCGTCTTGGGGGCGTCTTGGGCCGTCCTGGGGCCATAGTGGAGGCCCCTTGGGCCCTCCGGGGGCGATCTTGGGGGCCTCCTGGGTCTTGGAGGCCTCTTGGGCCGTCTTGGAGGCTTCTTGGGCGAACTTGGAGGCATCTTGGACTCTCTTAGGCCGTCTTGGAGGCCATCCTGGACCATCTTGAGCGAACTTGGGGGCCATCTTGGCCGTCTCGGAGGCCGTATTGTGCCATCTTGGAGCCATCTCGAGCAGGAAAATGTTTGCAACCGGGTCTTCGGGTGGACAGGGCCATGACCAGTCCTGGTTAATTTTGGCACGCCACCTCACCCAACATTTGATTCATAAAAGTTAGTGTCAGAACCGCGTGCGTTAGTCACACATTACAGTTAACATAGACTCAGCATTGCAAGCGCTTGGCATGGAGCCTCTCTCCGACTCGTGCTGGACGTTTCCTGGCCAGCACGCTATTATGTCAAGATGCACAGCACACGAAACAGAAACTTTTCGGGGAACACTTGGGGGAACAACAGAAAGATGGAGCATCTTGTGGGCGCCGCTTGGCCAAATTATCGGACTGTGTCAATATTCACCTCCCCCAGGCGCTGTGGATACTCTTCGGGAAACACTTGGGGGATGATGAGGTGGAAGATGAGCAGAAAGAGAGAGAGAGAGAGAGTGAGTGAGAGAGAGAGGGAGAGAACATAGAGAATCGAGACAGAGAGAGAGGAAAAACAAGAGAAAGAGAGAGGCGGAGTAGAAGGAGGAAGAGGAGGAGGAGGAACATGAGGAGGATGAGGAGGAGGAGGAGGACAATGAGGAAGAGGAGGAGGAGGAGGAGGAGGAGGAGGAGGAGGAGGAGGAGGAGACAGAGGAGAGAGGAGACAGAGGAGAGCGGAGACAGAGGAGGAGGAGAAGGAAGCCTCTTGGGACCGTCTTGGGCCACCCTTGGGGCCTCCTGGGAGCTCCCTGAGACGTTGTGGACGCTTCATGGGGGCCTCCTTGGGCTTCGTGGAGGCCTTTTTGGAGCTTCTTGGGAGCCTCTTTGGCCGTCTTGAGGCGTTCCTGGCCCGCTTGACGGCGCAGGAAGCCGTCGTGAATGCCTCAACCGTCTTGGGGCACTCTGGGGAACTTGAAGGCGGTCTTGGAGGCCATTTTGGGCGTCTTGGGGGCCTCTTGGGCCGTCTTGGGGTCTTCTTGGGGCCTTCTTGGGGGCCACTTGGACTGCTATGGGGCCATCTTGGAAGCCTCTCGGGCGCTCCGGGGGCTATCTTGGGGGCCTCTTGGGCCGTCTGGGGCCGGGAGGGCCGAAAGTAAGGAAATGCCAGAATCTCTCAAAAACCCTTAGAATCTGAATGATTTTGGCCTCTTCGGGCCCTCTCTTGGGCCACCCTTGGAGCCTCCTGGGAGCTTCCTGAGACGTTGTGGACGCTTCTTGGGAGCCTCCTTGGGCTTTGTGGAGGCCTTTTGGAGCTTCTTAGGAGCCTCTTTGGCCGTCTTATGGCGTTCCTGGCCCGTTTGAAGGCGTCGGAAGCCGTTGCCAATGCCTCTCTGAACCGTTTTGGGGCACTCTGTGGAATCTGAAGGCCGTCTTGGAGGCCATTCGGGCCGTTATGGGGCCATCCTTGAGGCCTCTTGGGCGCTCTGAGGGCGATCTCGGAGGCCTCTTAGGCCGTCGGAAGGCCGAAATGAATGAAATACCCATGTCCTTCAAAACTCATGGGGAAATCGATGATTTGGGCCTCTTCGGGCCCTCCTGGAGGACCTCTGGGAGGTCTTTTGAGCCGTCTTGGAGGCCTCTTTGGGGATTTTTGGGCCGTATTGTGCCGTCTGTGAAGCTTTTTGGGCGGCCTTGACGGCATCTTTGACCCTCTTGGGCCGTCTGGGAGGCCATCTGGGACCATCTTGGGTGAATTTTGGGGCCATCTTGGCCGTCTTGGATGCCATCGTGAGCCATCTTGGAGCCATCTGGAGCATGAAAAAACCTTGGCAACCACCCTTCCTGGGTGGCCGGCGCGCTGTGCCGAAGCTCCAGGGGAGTCTTCAAAAGACCACAAACCGTTCAGAACATCCAGCACGCTGGGCACCCTTGTGGCAAGCCAGTGGGTCATAGACCTCCAGGATGTTCGCTGGGATGTCGCGGGGAGCCTCTCGGGCGCCTCTTGGGGGCCGCTTGGAGGCCTCCTGGGGCGGCTTGAGGGCCTTTGGGGGGTCTCTTGTCGCCTCTTGGGCGCTTCTTGGCGCCTCCTACGGGCATCCTGGGGGTATCTTGGGGCGGAAGACTTGGATTTTTTGTTCGTGTTCCCCCCCTCTTGGGCCCTTCTTGGGGCTGTTTTTGGGCCCTCTTGAGCCGTCCTGGGCGCCTCTGGGGCCGTCTTGGAGTCTTCTTGGGCCATCTGGGGGCCCTCTTGGGCCGTCTTGTGGCGGTCTTGGGGGCCTTTTGGGGCTCGAAAAGTCGAGGACCCCCCAAACATGGAGAAACCTAAACAACATCAATCATTTTAGCCTCTCGGGGCCCTCTGGGGAGTGCTCTCGGAGGCCTCTGGGGGCGTCTTGCAGGCGTCTTGGGCTTGGGCCGTTTGGAGAGCGTCGTAGCCAGTCTGGAAGCCATCTGGGGCCGTCTTGGGGCACTCTTCAACCCTCTTGGGCGCCTCTGACGAAGTCTGCGGTTTGTTTCGGGTCATTTTCGACGCGGTCACCGCCCCGGAGGCCCACGCGACACAGCCCAGCAGCGTCCAGGACCGCCCGGAACCGCTTGGGAAACCGTGAGTCTGGGCCTTTCAGAACCTTACACCCCCTCTACCTTTTCAGTGCTGCATGGGCCTTGGGGCACTCCACTTCGTGCCAGAGGCATGGTAGCGGATTTGGGATTGTCTTCCCATGTCCGAAGATGGGGTTCTTGTTCCCCGTATCCTAAGATGGGTCTCCTAATCCCCATATCCCAAGATGAGGTTATGTTATTATTTAGACCGCTCCGAGAACCTCTTCGTCCTCCTCCTCCTCCTCACCTTCTTCTCTTGCTCTTCTTCCTCAGCCGGAGTGACTAACTCACACTCAGACTTCTCTCAGATTCATTCATACCCAGTAATATTCAGACTCACTCACACTCAGGCTCACTCACGCTCAGATTCACTCATATGCTGAATCATTCACACTAAGATCGCTCATACTCAGACTCACTCATACTCAAACTCAGAATACTCAGACTCGCTCACACTTAGACTCACTCACACTTAGACTCACTCACTCTTGGACTCACTCGCACTCAGACTAACTCACAATCGTATTCCCCTCATACTCAGACTCAGGCTCACTCATACTCATTGGTATGCTCACCACGATATGACACGCGTAGCAATTGGGCACCCCGATGCGGGGGCGCCACGGGTCAGGACACTCTAGGATTCGCGCCCAGATTGTGGGGATGTCTCAGGCGGTTTGCCTGTTTGCGTGCCCAATATCTTCTGCTTTCGGAGCATATTCTGATGATGTCTCAGGCGAGGCGTTGGTTCAGCACTCCTGAGAGGAGCGCCAGGGGTCAGGACACTCCAGGGTTCGCGCCCAGATTGGGGGGACGTCTCAGGCGGTGTGTCTGTATGCGTGCCCAACGTCTTCTGCCTTCGGAGAGGACTCTGAGAATGTTTCAGGCGAGGCGCTGGTTTCAGCACTCCTTAGGGGGGGGGGGGGCGCCAGGGGTCAGGACACTCCAGGCTTCGCGCCCAGACTGTGGGGATGCCTCAGGCGGTTTGCCTGTTTGCGTGCCTAGCATCCTCTGCTTTCGGAGTAGTTTGTGAGGATGCCTGAGGCGGTTTGTCTGTTTCTGCCCCCCCCTAGGCTGCTTTCTTGGTGACCACCTGTTAGCAGGCGTGACACTTGAGCACCCCAAGGGGGAACCGCCATGGGTGAGGACACTCCAGGATTCGCGCTCAGATTCGGGGGATGTCTCAGGCGGTTAGATTGTTTCTGCCCCCCAGACGTTTCTCTTTTTTGTGGTTCGATGCCCACTGTGATATAGCAATCGTGGCACTTGGGCACCCCAAGGCGGAGTCGCCAGGGGCGGGGACACCTCAGGATTCGCACCCAGATTGGGGGAATGTGTCCCACGGTGTGCCTGTTTCTGGCCCCCACCGTTTGTTTTTTGATGTGTGTGTTCCTCATTTACGCACTCACTCACTCACTCACTCACTCACCTCCTTCCTCTTTACTCCACTCAGACGCACTCATTCGCAGTCGGGCTTACTCATCAGCACCCCTTCCCCACACAGGCTCATTCATCACATTCAGACTCACCCATGTCCACATTCGGTCATGTTCATACGCACACATACTTACTCGTTCATACTCAGAGCCTGCCAAACTCCGACTCGTCCACACCCAGACCAATTCATATTCAAACTCACGCACGCTAAGACGCACCAGCCTTCAGTCTCACTCATGTGCAGAGTACCTCGCACCCAGGTTCACTCATACCCAGACTTGTGTTCATCGCGCTCAAACTCAGACTCACCCATACACCCATATGCTCTCACTCCCATTTGCTCGCAGACGGAGTTCCTCAGCGAAACGTGACAGGAGTGTGAGATACACATGTGGGGATCTCCGTGTCGAAGTAATTTGACAAGGATAGTAGGGGGCATTGTCTTGGGTCGGCCGCCAGTCGACCGGGAGCAGGGCTGAAAGGTTGTTCATTAAGCAGGAGCAGGGATAAACTCTCCCCAGGATGCGAGAAGATGGTTTGGAAGAGGCGGCACATTAAACCTACTGGGCCCAGCGGGCTGGTGGGTTAAGGGGGGCCAGCTTCGGGGCATCGTTGTCGTCTTGAGGTTTCATGGGCGCGTGCTAGACTCGCACGGACGCCTCTGTCTTGAGCCGAACAGTTCTGAGTGCAAGCGTAAAGCACGAAGCCCACCTTGGCACTTTGGGGCCATGGTGGAAAGTCCAGGGGCAGTTCTGACCTCTACTTGCTAGAGGCACGGAGACGGATCGTCCTCCGACTCATCGGCTCATCATCGTTGTCGTCGTCATCATCATTTTCGACTTGGAAAAACAAGCGGCGCCACCCCACCTACGGCCCTGCATGTTGCGCTACGGCCCATCGGACGCCGTAGCGTAGACCACGCAAAAAACCCGCGCCAGATCTGTCGGTGTGCGAGGGGGGGAAATGAGAAGGAGAAGGCCTTCTCAGAAGGCCACTGGACTTCTCAGAAGCCCTCGTGCCTTCTGAGAAGTGTTCCGAGCTTTCGGGGAAGGCTTAGGAAACTTTTCAGAAGTCGAGGGGACTTCTTAGCCTTCCGGAGAAGGCCCGCCCCCTCTCACTTCCCCCCACGCGCTCGCCGCCGAGAGGTGCTTCTCGGTGGACGAGTTCCGCGGCGCCATGCTCTGGGAGAGCTGCCGCTGCCCCGGCTGGTCCGCGATCCTGAGCAACCTCCTGACCAACGTCGCCGCGCAGGAGCTTAAGTTCTCCAGGCCTCGGAGAGCCGAAACTCAGGGAGGCACGAATCGACTAACGGAAACGCCACAAACATTGACGCTCGGGCTCCGCACGGATTTCTTGGATCCGCGCTGGGGTCCCCACCGCCGCCCTTGGAGCGCCCCGCGCGCCAGGGAGGGGGGGTCAAGCGCAGATCCAAGAAATCTGCGCGGAGCGCCGGCAGTTTCTGTTTCAGCCGTCTTTTCTCCTTCTAACAGACGGCCTCGGAGTGCCGAAATTCATCGAGGCCTCCTGGCTGGGATCCGCGTGGATTGGGTCGGAGGATCGCGCCGCATCGCCGATGCATCGCCGATGCGGAGCCCGATTTTCTCCACGCCGATGGCGCCGATGCCTTGCCGACGTCGACGATGTATCGCCAGTGCATCACCGATGCATCGCCGATGCATCGCCGATGTATCGGCGATGCGGCGCGATCCTTCGACACCATCTCCTCGGCCCCCATCTAGGAGGCCTCTAGAAACTCAGGGAAACACAAACGGCCCTTGAAATGCAGACCTGCCCGCACGACGCACCCCCACAGGTAGACCCCCGCCCTTCGCGCGCGGTCTGCATCTCAAGGTCCTTCAGGTCGGCGTCTGCATTTTGGGGTGCTTGGGTCTCGCGAGGGTCGACATTTCAGGGTCCGTTTGGTCGGGGTCTGCATTTGAGACCCCTTGCGTGGGTCTACATTTGAGTCCCCTTGCGTGGGCCTACATTTTGAGGCCCCTCTCGCGGGTCTTCATTTGGGGGGGCGTTGGCGTTTCGCCGAGAAACCTAGGTCGCACCCGCGTTGGCGCAGAGATAGTCGCGCTTCGCTCGAAGAAGAGAAAACTGCCCGAGCTGCGAGAGTTTCTGGTTGTTCTGGAGGCTTGCGCCATTCCGCCGACCCCCAGAAGAAGCGGGGAGCCCACGGTCGAGGCGCCGTGGGCCTCTGGGGCACTGTCTGGGGATTCTTGTAGGCGTCCTGGGAGCTGTGTGTGTGGGCCTGGCGGAGCCTAGAGCTTTTGGTTTCATTGTCATTTTCCACGTCGTCGTCGTCGTCGTCGCCGTCGCCGTCCTTGTCATCGTCGTCGTGATCGTCGTCGTCGTCGCCGTCACTCTGGCGGGGGCGTGAGCCCGCGGCACCCGCCCTCCTTCGAATAGGGGATCAACTCGGGCCCTTCCTTTGGAGACGACCCGCCCTCCTTCGAATAGAGGATCGACTCGGGTCCTCTTTCGAATAGGGGATCGACTCGGGCCCTCCTTCGAATAGGGGATCGACGCGCGCCCAAAGCCATTCCACACAAACTCGAGCTTCTTCTCGCCGTTGCGGTTTGCAGGCGCGCCCTGCTGTTCCGTGGCTCCCTGGCACACCTCTGAGAGCGTGCTCCACTGCGCAGCATGCGTGGCCTGCACGCTTCGCGTGGAGCGTGCCAGCGTGTGCCGGTCGCGCGCAGCTAAAGCTGCTCCGTGGACGCGCTCCGGCGGGGCCCCTCCTGGGCCCCCTCGGCGTCCGCTGGGCCCGCCGCATGCCGAGCGCTCCCGGCAGCCACCGTCGACGGCTGTCAGCAGAAACGCCGCCGACACCGCCGCCGACACGGCCGCCGAAATCGCCGCCGAGATTCCGGATTGGGCCGCCGAAAAGGGGCCAAGTTTGCGTTTGGCTTTGACTCTCTATACCTGTGTCCGCGGCGTCATGGCGCATATCAACAACATGATTTCGCTTGGGCAAGGGCAATGAAAATTTCGGCGACGATTTCGGCAGCTATTTCGGCGGCCATTTTTGCGGAGTTCACAATATGTTCGGCGGCGATTTCGGCGGCAATTTCGGCGGCAATTTCGGCGGCCCTTTCTGCTGCCCTCCTGGCGGCCGTTTTAGATACCATTTCGGTGGTTTTGCTTTTGAGAGCCGTCGACGAATGCTGCTGGGAGCTCGCAGCATTCGGCTGTGGCAAAGGGACGATGTGTCGGCGACGCCGTACACTGAGCGCGATGATGATTGTAGCATTGGTTCTCTCGTGGTCTCGGCGGTGATGATGGCGATGTCAGTGGCGATGTTTGGCTCAAGGTGGATATTCTTCGAGGTCCTTCGCAGGCGGGCCTACACGCCCAGCGCGACACGTGGTCCAAAGCCAGGGAATACCGCCCAAGTCCTTCGGATGTCGGTTGCTATTTCGAGGCCCACGGCGGCTCCAAAGAATGGCCTTCGGTGACCGGGGAGGGGGAGGAGGGGAAAGAAGGAGGAGGATGCTGAGGAAGAGGAGGAGGAGGAGGAGGAGGAGCAGGAAGAGGAGGAGGAGGAGGAGGAGGAGGAGGAGGAGGAGGAGGAGGAGAGGAGGAGGAGGAGGAGGAGGAGGAGGAGGAGGAGGAGGAGGAGGGGGGGAGGGGGAGGAAGAGGAGGAGGAGGAGGAGGAGGAGGAGGAGGAGGACGAGGAGGAGGACGAGGAGGAGCACAGACGCACTTACCGACAGACCAGCAGCACCAGCCACACCCCAAACCACCAAACGAAAGCCATTTGCTAAGAAAGCGCCACCGCTTCCTTCCACACACCATACCGCCCCACAAGCAATTACACTAATGCCACCGCAAGACGTCAAGTTCGACTTCACGTCAACACCCCAGTCCGACCGACCCATCGCATCGACGTCACAAACTCTTGCCACCAACACTTTACCAGCCAAGATAATTACCACCACCTCTTCCTACTTACGCAATCAACAGGCCACTTCAGCCACCAAAGATGATCTACATCATCACAAACGTGCCAGATCCAAACACACCATATGCCCTGCACACGTAGGTCATTTGCACGTGGCCACCTACACTGCGAATGCCCATACCAGCACACCCACCACCACCTGTACTCCATATACCAATCATCTGCCCACCGCCCGGACACATAATGACACAGAGCTGGATACAGGAAGTACCACAAAACGCCATGGCACCCCAGACATACGCCACACTGCAGGCATACTTCAACCCACACAGACCGCGCAATTGCAGCACACACCACTTCAGCCAGACGCGACAAACAACACAACATCATCTACAACCGCCGCATCATCTTCGTACACAGCACAGGCGACCCGAGCCTCTACACCTACAGCGACAGGTTTCGTTCACATCAGACATAGTACGAGCGGTTCTTCGACAGCCTCCACTACAACTGCCTTCCAGCAGCACCCTACAACAAGCCTCAACCCAAGCCGAAGAGCTACGATTACGACGGCTGCGGAGCAGACCAAGGGACACACAGATCGCAAGAAGAGTTCAACGGAACCAGCAGCATACCATGTCAACCACCCCATGTACCAGCAGTACGCCGACTACCGTAGAACATCGTCTACTGACCTCCTCCCTGCATCATTTCTGGCAAGAAACCTGCCAGGCAGTTTTACGCATGCATCGTGTTTAACATTCCCACTCGCCCTCACTGGTATTGGCATCCTTTTTATCCTACCAGGTTTGTGGTCCGACTCTGGCCTTTTGACGCATCTGGTGGCTGCACGGATTTTCACGGATATGTATCTTGCCGGGCTGGGGTAAACCGAGAAATTGTGGGTTGCAGCCCGATAGTTGCTAGCTCAGACTTTGGGGGCCTTTGGTCAAGCAGGAAGCCTTCCCTCTTTGTTTAACAACCCAGCAAGCACAGCTGGCACTGAAGTGCCAGCTGACGGCCGACTCACCATTGCCAAGTCTGCCCTTGGGGTCCCCCGTCCAGGATGTGACCCCACCTCTTCAGGCCGCGCACGCGCACGGATATTCATACATCGGCCCAGCTTGCGCACCAAGCCTACCTTTGGGCTTCACTGGTTTACGGGTGTGACCCCATTTTTTCTTTGAGGGTCCAACTACTACAGCCACTCGATCTCCTTCCTATTTTTAATCCCTCGCACTCTGTACCTAGCGGTACCCTGCAGTTGTGCGCCAATATACAGAGGCCAGCATATTCGGGCCAGCCACGCCAATCTGTGCACGCTACATAATAGCAGCACTTGTCTGACTCGCAATCTCAGGGTAGCACCCCAATAATGGCACGCTATCTTTGCCTGCTCCACAGCAGCACATTTTTTCTTTTAGAAGTGGGCGGTTGAGTGGAGATGGAGGAACATTTGGTGGTGTCGGGTGGGACATACTCTCAAAGGGTAGCAGCCCAAGAATTGCACACTGCCTGCGTACATGTTGGCAGCCGGTCTCTCATTCAGCCCCGACATTGTTAACGGCAGCAGCCCAAGCATACGCAGCGCACCGCACATGTTCAAAAAAGCCAGCCTACACTCCTGCTGTCGTCTCGTCTTCCACTGTCTTCTCCTACCTAACCCCTGTTTGAACAGGCCAGCTGACCTACCAAGCTACTTAGCCTGGACCTCCTCCCCATACTAGGGGCCGTACCCTACCGACTGCTGAGGACTGCCGACATCGTGTACATCCCCTGGATGCATAGGGTTTCGGCACTCTTCTCCTTCGGTTGCCCACGGCCCCTACTGCTTCACGTTTTTCCCGTCGTAGCTGCTTGTTTCACACGGCCTCTTACATTTAACTCTTCCACGAGTAGCAGGCCAATAATTGCACACTTGTAGTATCACGCTTCGCACTCATTTTCTTCTCACGCTTAGTTTTAAGTGTAGCAGCCCAAACATTGCACACTGCCTGTTTCATGCTTCGTGTACTTCACACTCGCACACTGAAGGTTATTATCATGAGCCACACTCAGTCAGAGATGCCACCCGCTCCGAGCGGGGAGTTGCTACATACCTCGACAGTGGAGGCATTTTGCCACCAGCTGTGGTCTGCCGAGTACGTCTTACTCTCCACTCTTTGAGCTCCTCCTCTCCTCTATAAAATTAGATGTACCTTTCCCCCTCACCAAGGGTAGCAGCCCAAGAAAGACATGCCGTCTAGCCACCTGTCTTTGTACAACGGTCGTGGACACGTGAGCAGCCTGCCCACGTGCCCGCTGCTGCTACAATACACCTTGCGCCCAGGGGGGAGCTGAGCCACGCTGGTGGCAAC